GTAGTAGTAGTAGTAGTACGTAGTAGTAGTAGTAGTAGTAGTAGTAGTAGTAGTAGTAGTAGTAGTAGTAGTAGTAGTAGTAGTAGTAGTAGAGAGTAGAGAGAGAGAGAGAGAGTAGATTTGGGGTTTCTAAGGTTTCACGGTGTGGGTTGTTGGGTCACAAGGTGGGGTTTGCATAGGGGTTAGAGAGCCGCACTTTCATAAAAAAAAATTCAAGTCTGGCTTGAATATTTTTTTACGGTAACTTTGCCTTGATACCGCATAATTGTTTTTTTCAATCCAAAAATCTAGGAAAATCTTGTGCTTGTCCAAATGGTTCAAATCTACTTCACAAGATTTTTGGATTGCAATCCCAAAATATTACAATTTTGGGTACATCCAAACTAGCACTAAGACGTTTCAAGTTTTTTGTTGAAAAGGTCCTCCATAAGAAATTTTTGTATTTTTGTAGTAATGGAGGGGGGAAGTACTCATCTCCAACATTAAAAAATTACCCTAGGGACAATAGGATAGAGCACCAATTTCTTGTCTTTGTACTCTAGAACAAAATGGATTGGCAGAAAGGAAACATAGACATGTAAATGAAGTTGGATTATCTCATATTTTTTCTAGTGGAGTTCCAAAGTTTATGGGCTAAAGCTTTCCATACAGCTACCGGTTTGGTAAATAGGCTTACAACTGTTGTATTGGATGGAAAATCTTCATACCAACACTACTTGGAAGAACCCTTGACTATTCTGTCTTGAGGAGTTTTGGATGTTGGTGTTGTGTACATATTCATCGTACCCTTAGGACCGAACTTTAAATTCCAAGGCGAACACATGTATTTTTGTGAGATACTCCAAGGATCATAGAGGTTATAAATGTTACCATTGCTGAACAAAAAGAATTTTCATTTCTGGACATATAACATTTATTGAGTTGAAATATTCCTCCAAATAATCATATTGCAGATGAAAGTCCTTATCCAAAGGAAAGTGACAAACACAAGAGTGACAGTGAACCATTCTTCATAAGTCGATATCAGATGGAGAAATTTGTTGAAGACGATGTTGAGAAAGGTTGAGATGATGAAGACATTGTTCCCTGTGATCCAGGGGAGGCCGTTATGCCATTCTTCGAGGATGACCATTAAATAGGCCAAAGTATGGGATCAACACAAAATGGTCCACGCGAAGTCATTGTATCAGATGAAGAGCTGAGATGGGGCAACAAGTGAGCACATCAGAAAGACCAGCAAACGAATGCGCAAACCAGCCAGTGAGCACCTAAAGCGGCCATGTTAAGCAAGCCTGCTGATTCAGATGTTGACATCACATCATTGAGGACGTGGACGCGCATTAAACATCCTATTGAAAGATTCTAAGCTATGAAGGCTTCACTCATGAATATCAAGTATTCTTAGAGTAAGATCTCATCAACATACTTGGATGCATCCATGTCGATGACACATGGGAGATTGTTATAAGACCAAACGATAAAAACGTGGTAGGTAATGGGTATATTAATTTAAGAGAACCAAAGAAGTAGAGGAGCATTCCATGGGCTTTATAGTATCTCACATTAACACGACCAGATATATCATATGTAGTGATTCAAGTTTGTCAATTATGTATATGCCCACTTCATCTCATGTGGAAGCCTTAAAAGAATTATTAGATACATTAAAGGAACAGTGAGCCATGACATAATCTATCATAAGAATGAAGTGAAGAATCTGCAAATTGAACCAATTATGGGGTATTTAGATGCAGATTACGCTGGTGACCCAGATTCAAGAAGATCAGTATAGGAGTTTGTTTCATCTTGGGATAAACTTGATATCATGGAGAAGTAAGAAATAGAAGACAGTAGCTAGGTCAAGTACTGAAGCTGATATTGGTTGCTAGGAGGTATTATTTTGGAGATGTTATGGATCCATAGTATGATGACCACATTGGGCATGAAAATCCAAAGATCCACAATGTCTTGTGATAACAAGAGTGCCTTAGCCTTAGCAGCAAATCTAGTATTTCGTGATAGATCTAAACATATTCAAATTGATTTTCATTTTGTGTGGGAAGGGATTGAGCCAAATAAATTGAAGCGAGGTTTGTGGGATAGAAGATCAAATAGCGAAATATTTACAAAAGGGTTATTAAAGGACATTGGTATTGGAAGGACGAGTTGTACATGTTTAGACACGATGTAGAACTTAGGGAGTGTTAGTCATAATTATTCAGGGATATATTTGTAGTTCTATATACTGCTGTAGCTTCCTCTTGTATTTGTAGTTCATGTTCATTGTAAAGGACAAATATACAAGTTCGACATTTATTTGTACCCTTATCTAACCTTCAATTAATGCTGGTTAGAAACAATATACATCTTTGAGTGCAGCTTCTCACTCATGAAGGAATTGGGCTTCTCCTTGCTTCCTCTTCATCCATCTCTACCTGAATGACAGCTTGTTTTTCTCTCTCATGTATTCAAGGTGATATTTTATCATTCTCTAACAAGAGCCTACTTGTGATTGAAGTTATATGGATATATGAATAAAGTTTATTTCTGCTTCTATTTGATAGCATTTGACTCTTGGGCTTAAGGTTAATCACATCTGGCATAGATGATAAATGCATGATTGCGAGGAGGCCAAGGGGACAATGGGGCATCTATAATTTATTCTATATGTTTGATCATTTCCTCGTTATCTCTTTGCATTTTTTATGGCTTTCTGGGTCCTTCTTCATAAGGTTATCTTCTCTAGAATTATCACTTAGGGGATTTGGAACAAGTAAATAATTGTATATTGTATATCATAAAGAAATGTGAAGAGGCGTATTGATAAAGATTATCCTGATTAGTATTTCTTTGTTGGATACTTACTTGAGAGGAGCTTGGCGGAGCCAGATTGGAAGATTTGGCATTGTAGACCATCTTGGGTGTAAGAAAACCTTCGGCTTAGGGCTATGGAAGTTTGTACTCGCCTGTTCCTAAGGTTTCTCAAGATCAATTCTAATGGGAGATTGTTTTGTAACCCATCTCTGGTTGGGATAACTTGACGCTTATTTGAGATGTAGTTGGTGTGGTGTGGATGCATTTTGTGGGCTCATTTGGTTCCATCGGTAGTAGCCAAGACTCTAGGACCATGATACATTTGGTGATTAGGACAAAAGCCTTATACAGATTGGTAGACATGAATGAGGGTTTGTTGGAAGTATTCCTTCTTCTATCTTTCATGTGAACTGTAAAATTTGAACTCAGCTTGGGTCTCAATAGAGGTCCATGTGTAATGAATCGAAGACTCGGACTCGGGGAGTCTTTTCCATTTCCTCCCAAAAATCTTAAGAGAATTCCCAAAAAATTAAAGAAAACAAACAAGGGTTTCGGGCTACATTAAAATTTGAGATGTTTGTTTATTTATTTATTAATTTTCTTCTTTTCTAATTCTTAAGTTCACAGTCTCGCATTAACTAATTCAATTTGTTAACTTTCCATTCCATATATCTCATTGTAATGAAATGAGTTTACAACTAAAAAGTTTATAAGTCACAGCGTCTTTTTGGTCCTTTTCAAAGAAAATCTGGGAGAACTTGAAGTTCAAATGCAAAAAACAAAATAAAAAAAAAAGAAAGAAAGAAAAGGAAACATACCCACTGATATGGTGTTGATGATACAACATGGGGTTCAACTGCCAAGTGGTTTGGGGGAGGTGTTGTTGAAAATGTGCTAAAACAATTCTAAAAAAGGCAGAGAAAAAAAAAAAAAACGATGTGCCTAAGGAACCCACGATACCCGCAAGGTTAATATCATTAGAAATTAAATGAGCTTTTTCAGTTTCTTTCGTCTAAAATTGCATAGAAATATGTCGAATTTCTGAGTGTCTAGGAGTCTGGGCAGAGCTTCTATGCTTTTCTATCTCCAGTTTTTATTATTATTTTTTATTTTTTCCTGTTTTTTGGAAATGGACACAGTACATGGCTATGTTGAGTCAACTCAGGCTAGTCCGAAGTCACCATGATGATATGTTATATCATCTTTGAAGTATTTGCTGATGTAATGATGTATCTTGTTCAATAAAATGTCTTAGCTAAATTAATTGTATAAGACTTGAGCATATATTCTTGTTAAGTGGACTCTGAATTTAAGACTTGAGTATATATTCTTCTTATGTGGACTCTGAATTTAGAGTCTATTTAACAAAATTACAGTGACTGTGGTCATTAATTTGCTAGTGTATAATTAACGTCGACATAATAAAAATTTTTTGTTAGTGTATAATTCCATTAGTTATCAAACTCTAATTATGGAGTTCTACAACTAAACTCAGCAATCTAACAGGTGGAGAATTGGAATTTAATATTTCCTGCAAAGTATTCCTATGCTGTATTCTTTCAATGTTGCTACTTCCTCCAGGGAGTGTAGTTGGATAGAACACGGAGCCAATCCTGTGATGACAATATTGTCCTTCATGTTGCCAAAGGAAAGTTTCTTTTTATATTCATTACCTTTTTTTACTCCTCTTCTAACTTTAAACTTCCACCTTGCAGAATGTGCAGTGATGGTTTTCCTTGCTTTGAGATATCTGCTGTAAATCCAGATAAGCCACCTTTGACAATATGCGAAATCAAAGAAAGAGTTAAACAATTTGAACATGTTGGTAAGTTGTCATGGTTTCTTCTAGAAGTTATTATTTCACAAATGTAGTTGCTATCTGTGATATTTCTTCAAAGGGAACTGTGGTAGCTGATAAACTTGAGTGATTACCCTGTTTATACTCGTTCCTATTTATTTCCTTTCATGGTTGGGGCACTTTTCAATTCCCTCTGGATAACTCAGAGAGATCTTTATTAAATATCCAGTTGCAAGGGCTTTGAGAGTATTTTTAGGCTCATGTGTATTGCGGTATCAGTGTGTCTGTAGTCCCATGTATGACGTTCTTATTGCATTAATGATTTCAAGAAATATTTTCCTAAAAATTTGAAGTTATTCTTTGCAATATTTTCTTTGCTAGCCATACTTAGTTGTAACTTCATCAAGTTAATTACTGACATGTATTTCATATAATTCTCATTAACTTTCATTGACAGGGAAAACTGTGATCATCTCTAATCTACCTTACTTCTACAAGAAGGCAGAACTGTTTCCTGGCAGTGCTTTTGTAATTGGCGCAGATACTGCAGCAAGACTTATCAATGTGAGACAATGATAATTCTTTTCTAGTTTGTGCTGTACTATATATTATGAACCTGTCTCAAGTAGCCATAGACAACTTTGGTTTTATCTGTGACCTTTGCATTTTATGACATTCTTTATTGATAGGATTTGCAACAGAGTTATGCATAGCAAATAAGTTTTCAGGAGGAATCCCATTTATCGATAAAAATGAACTACATCTTTTATTGTCTATTCTCATGAATATTACAATTTACAAAAATTGGGCTGCACTAGGATAAGTTGAATTTGGTGAATATGAAAAACACAAAATCTGGTGACACCGTGAAAGTTTTGAATGATTGCAACCATGAAATATTTTGTTATGGCAACGTATCTCAAGTATGCTTTTAAAGTTATCTGTAGTAAACTAGTAAAGCATACATTATCTAATTATGATGCTCTCCCTATTTCATTCATAATCGTTGAAGTATATTTTTCTCAAACCATTAAAGAACCAGCCATTGCATGAATAACATACTGAATAGGAAATTTGGTCCTTATCTACTGTATTGGTATTATAAATAATGAGCTTGTTGTAGAGGTGAGTGGAATGCTGTTTTTACGTTCTGTTTGATGTTTTCTTGATCAGTGCTGCTGTTTGATATTAGTCACTGGATTTTAATCACGAGCATGCCCAAAAAAAAGATAAAAGAAAACTGAGCTTTCATATGGATCTCGATCAATTCCTTATTGCTAGCATCATTCATCTGAGGAAAAATATATCTTAATTTGCTTGGATGATTCCAGGGTTCTTTGACATACTTCTAGTGATCTTTGGAAGCTTTTTATCTTTTTCCTTCCATTTATAATAAATAGGAAAAACCCATTTTGATGTTGCAATCATCACTCTAGAAAAAGGTTGTTCCCTTTGTGACTTTCCTGTTTCTGAGTCAACCTTGTTGAGTGTGATTATAGTTTTTAAAATATCTCCCTTCAAGTCCATGCCTCGGTAACAATAAAGTTGTGCTGTGCCCTTCTTAGTTCATAGTGAGTATTGGGCTATTCTTGTCTGCAATTTACTCACTGGATAAGTTTTTGAACTACAAATATGTTAGTTCTTGACTGTATTTGTACCTGCTTTAACCTTAGTTCTTGGATGGACATTACTATTGTCTAGTTATTCATTAATTTGCTGCAGTTTATTCTTCATCTGCTCCATATTAATGGTGCAAATCGATTCTTGTCACGTTATTGGAACTGATATACCTCACTGTGGTACAGTATTATTCTTAGGCATGTTATCTAAAATTGAGCTAAGGGTGAGACTCAATATAAGGATGTCAAATGATCACGGCTTTCGTTTACCTTTAAGATACCTGTCATACATAAAGGTGTTAATCGGTAGCGATCAACATTGCAGTTGAAAATATAGTGTTAATGATGCCATATGTGCACATTATTTCTGAATAGGAAGCACATTTTGGAGAAATCATTTACATCAAGTTGCTTCCAACCAGACAGATGGACTAAGATAGTCACTGTAAACAGAGAGAGAGGCAACAAGAGAAAGGTGTCGAGGTGGAGAAGGGAGGAACATCACTGGGGAAGTGGTAGGGGGACTAGTTCCAGCATAAAGATTGATGACCTGGGCGCCTTCTAGTTCATTTGGCTTCCTTGGGATATAATGAAAGTTAACCAATATTTCCTTGATGCGGATCTATAATCTCTTCAAACCTTCACGGATGTGGCTCTCTTTACTTGTTTGTGTTCTCACTTTTATAGAATTCCCTTCAACTGTTAATGGTTTGAGAAATCTCAGAAACAGATTTTGAGCCAAATGAAAAGGGCAGCCACCTCAGCTCCTAATGGTGACTCTCTCGACCCCTGAGGGGTCTGGAATGCCAAATGAACTTTTGTCGAGAACCTGAAATTTCAACTTCTAAGTGTCTGTCCCCTTAGTGGCACTTTGCAAGGAGGCGTTTGGAAGCTACAAGCTGGAATTAGAATTGGAAATTTCCAATTCTGAAATCTCGATGACCCAGTTCTCCGACTTCATCACCGAAAACCTATTGATCAATATTCCCTTGGAAGAAGCCCTCTACACCTGGTCCAACCATTCTTCCAATCCCTCCCTATTCAAATTGGATCGTTTCTTAATTTGTATCTCCTGGGACTCTACATTCCCAGGACCTCATTCCTTTGCCTTCCCTAAACTCACCTCCGACCACAAACCCATACTCCTTGACATTGAAACCGCACTCGGTGGCCCAAAACGATTCCACTTCGAACCCACCTGGCTGGAAGAAGCTGAGTTTCATGGTCTCTTTCAATAATGGTGGGCGTCCTTTGCTTCCTCAGCCATCAGATGGACTGGCTTTAGGCTGCAGCACAAGCTTCAAATGTTGCACCACTCTCTCAAATCTTGGAGTCAAAGTTTACTAGGAAATGTTCATATCCAAAAGACGAACATCCTCCAATCCAGTATGGATTGAGATCTCTTGGAAGAGGCTAACTTATCTGCACCCGAACAGAATGAGAGAGCCAATCTCAAGTTCCTCTATCAAGCTATCCTCCACAAGGAAGAAATTTATTGGTTCCAACGCTCAAGGCTTTGATGATTGAACTAGGGGATCAAAATACAACATTCTTCCACAAAATTGCAAATTGTAGAATGAGAGATAACATCATCTCACAAATCAAATCGGGCAACCAGACCCTTATGGAGCCCTGCCAGGTGTAAACAACCATCATCGAATATTTCAAAAACCTTTTTCTAGCCAACAACATACCCAAACCAAGAATTTTTTATCGTTCCGGCAAAACCATCCCCGTTGACAGAGCCTCTTGGCTAGAACTCCCCTTCTGTGAAGAGGAAATTGCAAGTGTCTCAAACTTGGGCCAAGATAGAGCCCCGGGACCGGATGGCTTCCCAATAGCCATATTCAAACACTTCTGGGAGACCATGCGCCCATCACCTTCTTCTGCAAATTTCACGAGGGGCATTGTGCACAAGGCTATGAATGCAACTTTCATTGCACTCATGCCCAAAATTGAGGGCGCTGAGGAGATCAGAGATTTCAGACCCATTAGTCTCATAAATAGCTCATATAAGGTGCTATTCAAGGTACTGGCCACTAGAATGAGAGAGGTGATGGGCTTCATCATCTCACAAAACCAAGGTGCATTTGTCAAAGATTGTCAAATCCTTGATGGGGCTCTCATTGCCCATGAATGCATTCACTCTCGTCATTTCACAAGAGTGCAGGGACTGGTTATCAAACTAGATTGGGAGAAAGCGTACGATCATGTGGATTGGGATGTATTGGATGAAACTCTTAGGCGAATGGGCTTCAGTTGAAAATGGAGGTCATGGATGAGGAATTATATTTCTAACGCCCAATTTTCGATATTGATCAATGAATCCCCTGAAGGTTTTTTCTCATGTTCAAGAGGTCTTCGATAGGGAGACCCTCTCTCACCTTTCCTCTTTGTCATAACTGCCGAAGTTTTCAGCTGTTCCCTTGAAAGAAACCATGGACTGTTGGATGGTTTCAAAGTCAGCAATGGGATCCCCATCATCTCCTACCTCGAATATGCCGACGACACTCTTGTATTTTGTTATTCTTCCAAGCAACAAGTTCAATCCCTTCTCCTGTTTCTCAAAGCCTTCTAGCTAGCCATGGGATTCAAAGTGAACTTGAACAAAACCAAGATGATGGGTGTGGCTATGGACACCCACCACACTGCCCAGTTTGCACAATCTTGGGGCTGTGGGATAGAGTCTTTACCTACCTCCTACCTTGGCCTACCTCTATGCCTAGGTAAACCCAAAATAAAACTATGGAGACGTATCATTGACAAGTTAGATCGCAGATTTGCTGGTTGGAAGGGTCGTTATCTCTCTTCAGCTGGGAGAATAACAGTCATTAGGGAAACCTCATCGAACGTTCCCATTTATCAAATGTCCCTATTTCACATCCCGGCCTCGATAACAGCCCGACTAAAACAACTAACGAGAAATTTCCTTTGGTCGGGGGATGGTACAACCAACAAATACCATCTAGTTACTTGGGAGAAGGTGTGCAGGTTGAAAAGCACAGGGGGTTTGGGCATTCGGAATATAAGAGACTCCAATGCTGCACTGTTGTCCAAATTATGGTGGCTCCTTTTTACTCAAGAGGGTCACCTTTGGCAGGAGGTTCTATCCTGCAAATATCTCATCGACTCATCTAGATCGATGCCCCCATGCCACGCCAATAGCCTTTCATCTGGATTTTTGCGCTCCATCTGTTGCTATGACCTCTTCAAAGCTGATGCAAGAATCCTCCCTAGAACTGGCTGTAGAACTCTTTTTTGGACTGATATCTGGGTAGGACACACTCCCCTGAGGGACTCTTTCCCTGATCTTTTTCGTCTTGCTACAAATAGAGAAGCTTCTGTCCTCCACTACTTTTCCCAATCCAGCCACAGCCGCTCTTGGACATCCATTTTCAGACGCACTTTGCATGACCAAGAATTAGTGTCTTTCCTCCGACTCCAAGTTCTCATGCAACCCATTTTTCTCCCTCTTGCAGGCGAAGATAGACTTATCTGAATATCCAACCCATCGAGTAGATTCACAGTGGCCTCGTGCTACCTGGTCTCAGTATCATCACACAACCCCCCACAGGCCTCCCCTTCTTCGGCCAAAACATGGTTAACTTTTATTCCACAAAAGTTGCAAGGGTGCTTACTATGGATCAATTACAAAGGCGTGGTGTACTCCATGCCTAATCGATGCCCCATGTGCCTATGCGCTGAGGGGATGAATGCTTATCTCTTCCTCCACTGCTCCGTCGCTCAATACCTTTGGGGGATAGACTCTTCAACGCTTTGGCTGGGTTTGGGTGAACCCCCAGTCTGTCCCCGGTCTTTGTAAACCTCTCCCAATTCCTTCTGTGGCCTAAACAAGGGACAATGCTATGGAAGGCCATGGTATCAGCCACTGGTGCATCTGGATTGAACAAAACCACATAGTATTCAGAGGCGAAAGTACTTCACCAGAGTGTCTCAAGGGAAAAATTGTTACCCTGGTCATCTTTTGGATCAAGAACCACAAACGGTTCAAGGTCTATTCCTCATCGGATTTTTGGTCAAATTGACAGGTGCTATCCCATTCCACCACCCCAAGGGTTGTTCGCACCTCACTATGGAGACCTCCGGAAGAGGGCTGGATCAAATTTAACTTTGAAGGCTGCTCCCTGGGAAACCCAGGACCAGCCAGGGTTGGAGGACTGTTCAGGGACCATTCCGGCTCCACCATCCTCTCTATCTCCAAACCCCATTGGAATTGCTGATAGCACCACAGCAGAGGCCAATGCTTTACTCGAATGGCTAAGAGCATATAGACCTGAGTGGGGCAACCAAATTGCCATTGAAGATGATTCTAAATCTTCATGGCCTTCAGGCTTTGGAGGCTGGCCCACATATTCGATGAGATTTTTGGCATCACCAGCCAGATCCATGTTTCCTGGACCCACAATTGGCGAGAAGCCAACTCCCTGGCTGACGCTTTAGCAGATGACGGAGCAAGACCGCCTTCGGGGAGTGGGCCACTGATTTTTGTATACAGTCATAGTCTTGATCTTTATCAGGAAGAGAATGTATAGAATTTTTGTATCTATCTCACCTCCTTGGTGACATATGACCCTAGTAAGTATACTCATTTCTTATACTCAATACCCGTAAACTTTTCTTAAAAATATTATGGAGAGTCTGGGAACTATGTTTGGTTTAAGCTGAAATTTTGTAAAGCACGTGATCTAAAAATTAGCCGATTCATTAATGAGATGGTAATGTTTGTTTTAACTGAATGAGTAGATCTAGTTAAATGGGCATTCTAAATCACCAAAAAAAAAAAAATATCTTGGATGAGGTGAGAGCGTGTCTATGCATTTCAATTTTATTTTATTTTTCTATACATTAGATTGAGCTAGAACTTTGGGCTTCCACGCTTCTGACGCTCAAGAACCTATAAAAACTATAGAATGAATAATTTGGAAAAAAAATATAATGATCAGAATATCCTCACCGACGATTGAGAACACTTCCAAGTATTTCAATTTTATTTTATTTTCTACACATCTATTGAGCTAAAATTTTGATCGTCTATGCTTCTAATCCTCACGAACTTTTAAAAAATATAAAATATATTTTAAGAAAAATAGAATGACCGAAACACCCCTGAAACTCATTATAATTATAATTCACTTGAAATAATATCAATCTCAATTGTCCGAACTTGATTGGACTGTCCAGTGCATGTCTTCATATTTCAATTTGAATTTTTTATATATATTAGATTGAGCTGAAATTTGGGAGTCTATACATTTAAATATTAAACAACCATAAAAGATATTAAAATTATTTTGTAAACAATAAAATGACCAATTTGCCTCTGTAACTTTGTGGGTTAGTTTCATTATTTTATTTTTTGTGAATTATTTTTTAATATTTTTTATAAAAACTACCTAATGAGCACACATACCCTACATATATCATTTGATCTGCTTGGGAATAAAAGTAAAAATATTTGAAATTTTGTCACATTTTCTATATGATAAAAACAGCCCAAAGATGAGAAATCTACATTTTCCACTTTTTAGGGAGTTTACACTTCCATGAGGAGTGGAAGTACACATTTCTCATTGCGAACTTCACATTCCCAGTTGCCAAACTGGAAAATGCTATTACATGCATATTAACTTGTGTCACATAACTACATCCTATCTTGGCGTCTGCCAACGAAATTTCTGGTTGTCGAGCCCCACAAATCACATGCATATTAACTTGTGTCACATAACTACATCCTAGCTTGTGCTATCTTTTAACCATATGCTGAAGTCGGCTGCCTCTGACTTCCTCCCTTTCAAGTGCCACACAATCATACATTGGATCACCTCTCTCACGCTCAAGTGTTTACGTTCAAAACTCTTTTCTCTCATGGAAAAATACCCCAAAGATAGCTTGCAACTAAACTTCCTGCGGGTTCTCCCTTTCCGTGAAAATGGGCAGGAACTCCACATAGATAGCATTTATTCCGCTGATTTAAAATGTTGACTTTAAGTTCTGCAAAATGGAATGTTATAGGCTTTAGTAACCGTCACAAAATGAAGTCATAAAACAAAATAAGCATGCTTCATGCCTGATGGAGCATTATCTGTAGATGAGACATGTTTATAAGAATATGCAGTGAGTGCTAACATGCTTCAGATGGGGTGACTTGTGACGTCTGTTTAACCTACTTCAAGAACTTGGAATTTAAAATATCCCTGTCCTCTTTGGAAACCTCTATATTGGATGGGAGTAGTTTTCATCATTTAACATTATGCCTTTGGGTGGGTTTGACTTGCAGCTCACATAGTGCATAGATTTGGACCACTAATTTACGTAGTTGATTTACAAGCCACAGGTTTGCAAGATGAATCCTATAACAATTCGGAGTACGTTTCAAAGCTTTTTAAATTGGTGGCTCAGACTTTTGATATCGGATGTAACGCTGTGGTACGATTATCGATAAAATTGAGTCTCACTGAAGACTGAGTGAGTAAATCCATTATATACAGATACATACAATATATGGCTTACATGCCTCTTATAGGAAATATATACAGTATAAACATGCATTTTTCATGGAGGATAGTTCCACATGTGAATATGATAACACAGTTTTGAATTCTCAATTTTCAGATTTGATTGATAGGGTTATGGATCTAGAGAACGTAAAAAGTCAGAGGTGTAACATCCTATAAACTAAGATTAGGGTTTGTAATGTAGCGTGTTTATTAACATGTAAAAGTGAATATAGTTTTGTGGGGAACTTGGTATTTTTAGTCAATCTAATTCTTGTTGAAGTGTGTCACATTGGTCACAGATTGAAATGAACAAGAAATTGCCAAGATGTCCCTCATATGTAGTATCTGATGCAAAATAAACTTGAGATTTGCATTTCACATCATAATACATTAATATTGGTATTCATTCATTCGTTCACTTGAGTAATCAGCTATAAGCTGAGTCTTGTATTGTCTTATCCGTAATGCTTTCAACATGCACCATGAATTTCAACCGCTTAGCTTCCTAGTTTTGTTCTCTCTCTGTGTACACAGCCATACGATATGCATTCACTGGAGAAAGAGATAAGAGACGTTGTAATGTTGGATTCTTATATTTGTTTTTGTACAGCCAAAATATTATGGTGGGGATTATGGTAGAATGGTGGAGATAATGGTGGGATGCAAACGATTAGGTTGCACTTTTGTTGTAGGGGGTCGAAATGTTGATGGCACCTTCAAGGTATTCCCTATTTCTCAACTCTCATAGACGATAGACCCTAACTCTCTTTTTAGCTTAAAAATGCTTCCCTCTTTCCAACAGGTTCTGCGGGATTTTGACATCCCAAATGAGTTAAGAGATTTATTCCTTGCAATACCAGAGGGGGAATTTCATATGGATATTTCCTCGACAGAAATAAGGAAAAGTCGTGGGCAGTAGACAACTTTATGATAGTGTTCTGGGTGCTGCAGGTTCAAGTGTTGTATCATTTGATTGGTTTGAATTATGTAGGTACAATTGTTTCTAGAATCAAAATGTCATCCAAATGCTTAAAATGTAAAATTCTTGTCATAAAATGGTATTGTTGTTATTTTAAATAAAACACAAGGGTAGTTATGGAGTGAAACGCTAGATTGTTAATATAAATGCAAGTGAATAATTCAAAAATGTCAGATGGAAAATATACCCTTGTATTTTAGTAGAAATACCAAGAGTACCTTTTTAAAATAACCATAGAATGAAGAGATGAACAACTATAGCAATTTTAAGGTTCACACCCTTTCTAAATGTAACTTATAAGATTTGACGTGTGCTAACCATAAAAAAACCACACGATAGAAAGATATGGATTTTGTTATGGCTTACAATTTAGCAATTGTAATTACCTATTTTAAAAAAGGAAGATGACCGTTTGATAACTTTAAAAGTGGATAATATAAATGCCATATGGACTACTTTCTAGTTAAGATTACAAGTCGACTATTGTGTAAAGACCGTAAGATTATTTCAGGACAAAGTTTTAACACACAACATAGGCTTGTGGTTATGGATGTCTCTATAAAGAGATAGAAGAAGAGCGAAATTAATAGATATCCAAGAATTTAGGTGGTGGAATTTAAAAAGGGAGAAAATAAACTTATTTAAGAATAAAGTAAACAAAGAAAAATAGAATTTTGAGCACAAAGTTAATGTTATGTGAAATGAGTTGGTTGATTGTATCAAGAAAATGACGAAAGAAGCTCTAGGAGAATCTACAGGGAAAATAAATTATGATAAGAAAACTTGGTGGTAGAGTGATGAAGTTAAAAAAGGGCTATTAATGAAAAATAATCATATTATAAAGCTTGGTAATATAATAGAAATGTTCAAAACTTAAAAAATAAAAATAATAAGAAAAACACTAAGAACATATTAAGTAAGGCCAACTTTAAGGCATATGATGATCGATACATTAAATTAGGGACAAGATAAAGTGAAAAAGATGTTTTCAAACTAGTAAAAAATAGATGAAGTATAGCGATCTAGATCATATTAAATGCATTAAGAAAGATAATCAGAAGGTCTTGGTGAAAGCTAACGAGGTCAGCAAAAGGTGACAATTTTATTTATTTATTTTTAAATGATGAATGCTATGGGAGCACATTGTTAGGAGGAACTTTTGACATAGATGAGGTCAAAGGTCCATGTATACATTCACATGATTATTATATTTGAAGTTAAAGAAGCTTTGAGAAAGATAAGATATCAAAGGCTCTAGGACTAGATGGTATTGTAATAGAGGTATAGAAGTGCATGGGTGAGACGGACGTCATCTAGCTGACCAAGTTGTTCAACATAATGTTAAGAATAACAAAAATGCCAAACAAATGGAGAACAAGTATTATGGTACCTATGTGCAAGAAAAAAGGAAACTACATAACTGTATGAACTATCGAGGTATTAAAACTATGGAGCAATAGGAGAGAGTGATTGAGCAACGATTAGGACATGAAACATGTGTATCAGAAAATTAATTTGGTTTAATGTCAGGGAAGTGAGTAATTGAGGCTATTTTCCTACTTAGGTAACTGATCGAAAAGTTTAGGGAGAAGGGAAAAGACTTCCACATGGTTTTTATTGATTTAGAGAAAGTATATGATTGGGTACCTAGATAGTTAATTTGGTGGAAGTCAAAAAAGAAAAGAGTCATTAGAGGATATATTGACATGATGAGAGATGTAAAAAAGAGTGCTAAATAATGTGAGCATAACTCGTGCATAAATAAGTGTGTTTTCAGTAACTGCAAACCTATATCAAGGGTCAATATTGAGTTAATATCTCTTTATTTTGGTTATAGAGGAATTAACTAGGCATCTAAGATGAAGTACTATAGTGCATGTTGTTCGTAAATGACAGTTTCAATTGATGAAACTTAGATGCAACGTCAATAGAAAGTTAGAACTTTGAAGGGATGCTCTAGATTTTAAAGGTTTTGAAATTATTCGGACTAAGACAAAATATACAGAATGCAAGTTTAGTAATAATATTAGTATAAATGAGAAAGTAGTTAAGATTGATAGTCGAGAAATACCTAAAATACCTAAAATAAATTATTTTTATTACCTTGGGTGGATAATCCAAAAGAAAGGAGAGATTAAAGAAGATGTCAGGTATATAATTAGAGGTAGGTAAACAAAGTGGAGATGTGCTTCTAGAGTTTTACATAATCGTTACATGCTAATAAAACTAAAGAGAAAGTTCTATAAGAAGGTGTAAGACTAGTCATGCTTCATGGGATAGAATGTTGGGCAGTCAAGAAACAACAGTAGTTGAGATGATGATGTTGAGATGGATGAGTGGCAAGACAACAAAAAATAAAATTTGGAATGAATACTTCCAAGGAAACTTGGGGGTGGCTCTAATTCACAATAAGATGAGGGAAAATAGATTCAGGTGGGTTGGCCATGTACAATGTAGACATAATACAACTCTAGTTAGGAGGGGCGATTTGGTTCAAATAGAAAGCTTTAAAAGAGCATCGGAAAGACCCAAAAGGACATGGGAGTGCAGTGAAAAGAGATATGATGACTTGGTCTGAGGGTGATAGAGCCGAATG